GGGCATTTTCTTCCCTGCTGCAGCTGCTGCTCTAACGCAATACCGAATGCTACTCTGTCCAGCTTTAAGGAGAATACACTGTAACATATTATCCTCTTTATCTACAATGAGTGTAAAGGGCATGTTTGGATCTAGTAGACCAGTGTAGTCAGTCTGTTTTGTCTGAGTTAATGCTGTGTCAGCTCTTCTGTCCATGTCACATTGTGTCTTGGTCTCAGTCCATGGCTATGCATTATAGATAGAAGTTGAGCCTGCAGGGATGCATCCCTTGCCATTTGAATCATTTTAGTGGACACACTTTCAGAAATTAAGTATACACTTCATTTTTCAACAGATGTTATGTTGCATGGCCTTCGCCATTGTTCACTGAAATACACTTCTTGTGCACTTGTCAGTTGCCACTCACGATAATGTCCCATCCAATGCCCTGCATCTTTTCTCCTAACATTTGAGTTCAGAGCCAGTAAAATGTGTGGGACCACATTATGCATTGTAAAATACTGACTAAACAGATTTTGTGGCAATTGTACGTCAGCTGCACATTTGTCTTATGTCCAGTACAACCATCGTGTTGTTAACAGATCAGTTTCCCCTTTCTGTGCAATGCAGTATAGTCTTTGTGTCTCGGAAACAGCATTCCTTCCTTGCTCATGTGCTCAATGGAGCAGAGTGTGACCTGCTGCGTTAGGATTCTTATGTGCGATTTGCCACTTGTACATAAACTACAAAATTCAATTCTATTCAATTCAATTTTATTTATATAGCGCCAAATCACAACAACAGTTATCTCAGAGCGCTTTTCATAAAAGAGCAGGTCTAGACCGTACTCTGTGATGTTATTTACAGAAGCCCAACAATTCCCACCAAGAGCAAGCACTAGGCGACAGAGGCAAGGAAAAACTTCCTTTTAAGAGGCAGAAACCTCGAGCGGAACTATGGCTCAGGGTGGGCGGCCATCTGCCTCGACCGGTTGGGGTGAGAGAGAGAGAGAGAGAGAGAGAGAGAGAGAGAGAGAGAGGGGAGGGAGGCAGCCTACACAATATACACACACAGAGTTAGAGACAGTAAAGGTGATGTTGCTATAGACTAAATGAAAAATGGTACAGATATTTATAGTAGTGTTAATGGTAACAGTCGTAATAATAACAATAGGACTAGTAACAATAGTTGTTGTAGCAAAGGGTGTCGAGCAGGAACACGGGGGCAGCAGGTGACCCGCAGCCACAGATCCAGACTCCACAGCTCCAGAGCCAGAAAACCTGCAGGAAGTGATAGGAGGAGAGAGGAGAGGGACGAGAAAGCACAAGACTACCAGAAAGGGGAGAAGTTGTGTTAGTAACATGCAATAATGGGATGAGGTTGCACACAGAGGGAGAGAAAGTAGAGGAGAGAGGAGCTCAGTGCATCATGGGAAATCCCCCGGCAGTCTAGGCCTATAGCAGCATAACTAAGGGATGGTTCAGGACTCACCTGAGCCAGCCCTAACTATAAGCTTTATCATAGAGGAAAGTCTTAAGCCTACTCTTAAATGTAAAGATGGTGTCTGCCTCCTGAACCCAAACTGGGACCTGGTTCCACAGGAGAGGAGCTTGATAGTTGGACACTCTGGCTCCAAGTCTACTTTTGGAGACTCTAGGAACCACAAGTAACCCTGCATTCTGGGAGCGCAGTGCTCTGGTGGGGTAGTAAGGTACTATGAGCTCTTTAAGATAAGATGGTGCCTGACCATTAAGAGCTTTGTAGATAAGAAGATTGATTTTAAATTCTATTCTGGATTTTACTGGAAGCCAATGCAAAGAAGCTAAGACAGGAGAAATGTGATCTCTTTTCCTGGTTCCTGTCAGAACACGTGCTGCAGCATTCTGGATCAGCTGAAGAGTCTTAATGGACTTTTTCGAGCAGCCTGATAATAAGGAATTGCAGTAATCCAGCCTAGAAGTAACAAATGCATGGACTAGTTTTTCTGCATCATTTTTAGACAGTATGTTCCTGATTTTCGCAATATTACATAGGCATGTACGACATGTCCAGATCAAAGATAACTCCAAGATTCCTCACAGTGGTGCTGGAGGCCAGCCACAAGTGACTTGCTTTCCTTTTCCAAACACAACCAATCAAAATGCTACACTTATTCACCAGGTCACACACCCACTCCTCACATGTGTAAACACTGACTGCTTAACTGATCACTAACCAATCACTGCTTCAGTATAGGCTTATAAAGAAGTTAAGTTAAGTTTTTCTCAATTGCTTGAACACTATAACCAGCCTTTTGAGCTAAAATTTCAAAACAATAACTCAATTTTTCAAAGAGCGCACCCATTTCCCTAAACTCCACACAATTCCCTACACCATGTGGTCATTGAGAAAGCACTGGCATTCAATATTGTTCACTCAATCAGCACAGGTTGAGCTCAATTAGCACACATCCACCCAGATGGAAACACAAACAGTCAAAATTTATAACACACCAATCAGAAGCTTCAATAGCTATAAAAAAGAGCCAGAGTCAGTTCATTCATTTCAAATTCAAGGAAGAAGATGAGGAGTAGGAGGAAGAGCAGTATGGAGAGGAGTAAGAGGTGAAGGAAGAGGAACAGTAGGGGTTGGATAAGATTAAGATGAGGAGTAGGAGGAAGTGAAGAAGGAGGGAGGAGGAGGAGGTGGAGAAGAAGGTGGAGGAGATAGAGAGAAGAGGAGTAGGGAGGAGGAGAGGGTGGGGCAGAATAATTTGTTGTTTGGTGTGTTGTACTGTACAGCACACTAAGGAATAAAAAAAATGTTTACATTTGTTATTTCTTTTATTGTGTTCATCATGTGAAAAGGTTTTTGAGGGGGAGAACCACAAGCCATGTCATTAATAACCAGTTTATTTAGTATTGTTTTGAATTTATCTCACCAGTGTGTCAGACTGTGTTGTAGTGTGTGTGTTTTTGAGTGCTTGTGTGTTATATCTGAGGGCAAAGTTTAGTTTTTCAGCAAGATTGAATGGTTTTGAGTGGAAAGCTTCATTTTGACCTGAAAATTGGATGTTTGGAGAAGTGGGTGAGAAGTTGTGGATTTGTGTTTAGACTTTCGAGAAAAAAGAGGCATAATTTCAAGAAATGTGTTTGAGCAATCAAGAAAAATTTTAAAGGTCAGATACCTGTTTTGAACAATGGATGCCAACAATGGACAGAGAGCAAAGGAAGTAGGAGGGAGAGGCAGGGGACGATAACAAGAACAAGTTCAAGGAGGAAGAGTTTGAAGACGAGGATGACTTGGAAGAGGACTAGTTGGATGAGGACGAGGGCAAATAAGAGAAGGAAGGAGAGCCATGTTTGATGAGATCAGGGCCTTATATAGGACTTATTGATCATGTGATCAACCACAGGTTGACAATGAGAGAAGCTGGACTGAGAGTCCAGCACAACTTGTGACCATAATTTGAAAAGAAAGAATTTGAAAGAAATTAGAACAGGTATGCAAACAATCTAATAGTTATTTCAGCAGTACAGTACTATAAAATAAGTATTATTGCTTGGCAATAAAAGTAAAAATTATATTTTTGGTTTATATATGATTATGGTTTTCGTTTCTTGTATGCTACTGTATACAACACTGTGCTACTGTTACAACAGTAATGTTTAGCCAAATTTCTGTTTCAACATTGCATTGGTGTTTAAAGTGTACTTTTCAACTCCTCTCAGCAGATTTCTTTCACTTTAGAACACAATACGGAAACGTACACAAAGGCCTATGAAAGACAAAAGAGCTTTAAATTTAGAACAACAGTGTGTAAATGGTATAACCAATAATTTACTATTTTGAAGTGTTTGCCATCTGATGCAAAAGCCTCATTTTGGGATGTGTTTATGGCATTTTGAATGCAGTATTTAATTTTGAAGGACATATGCAGCATTTTGCATTTTGTGTGAGCAATGTTGGGAAGTGTGTAGAGTTTTGAAAAAAGGCGACATAGTTTTGAAAACGTGTGTAAGCAGTTGTAAAAAACTGTAATTTCCCTTACACCCACTCAGTTTACGTATATTTTACATTTTGAATGCAGGTGTTGGTTCCATTCATTTCAGGTTTGGTATGAAAATAATTTAGCGGACTTGCTTATGAATACAAAACTTGCTTACAAATACATCACAGTAAACTCATCACAGTCTGAATTAATTATTGTCAAGGTGAGATTACCTTTAAGGAATGCAATTTAAGTGCAGATTGGTTTGAAACTAAACACTTGACAATGAACCCACAAATGCAGTCCATATATTACATATTCTAGATTTCTAAAAATCATTAGCATGATTTCCTAAATAGTTAGTTGTGATGTAAAGTACCATGTAAAGTATTGTTTTATACAAAATCTCTGTAATGGTACTTCACTGTAAAACCCTGCTGCTTAACACTACTACTACTACCAATATCAGAATCACAATCAGGTTAATTGCCAGGTACATTTTCACATACCAGGAATTTGCCTTGGTATAAATTGGTGCTTACAGTACACATGAACATAAAAAATTTACATTTAAAAAGTGAGGAGATCAAAAAATGTACATGTATACAAAAAATACAATAATACTATAATACAATCCTGACAAGTATGTGCAAAGGTCGGCAACATGAGCATAAAGCACAGTTGAGCGTTGTTGTAAAGTGTGGGGTCAGGAGAGTGTATGAGTGTGTGTGTTTGGGGAGGGGGGCAATGAGAGTCAGTGACAGTGGGGACCCGGGCCTTGCCATCGGAAAAAGACTGTCCTTGTGGCAGGAGGTTTTGGTCCCGATGGACCGCAGTGGAGTCAGGCATGCTCAGCTGGGACAGAGCTGGGACAATATTACTGTAATTATGACTAATTATTATTACAATAGTAATAACTGCAAATAATAAAGGACTCTTATTTATTCATTAATTATTTATGTTATATGTAAATAAACATTATGCACTATATGTTTTCTACTGACACTGATATTGTTAGAACTGAACACGGTGTGTGTTTAACATGTTCCAGATGGATAGCAACGCCACTCGCAATCTCAGCTGGGATCAAGCAGAGAGTCCATCTGAAAGCAGTGGACAACCCCATCCTGGAACTCTACTACGCTACTCAGTGTAGAAATCCTGCTCAGGTAAACAAAGTAAAAATCAAATCTCAGTTCTGTCACTAATATTTATATTGCTTTTAACTACATGAGAACTGCACTGTACACATCTCTGTTCTAGATGAGGAGGCAGGCAGGCATTTAGCTTAATTGACTGTTGCTTTACAAGTGGGCGCTTTCATTTTCCTATCATTGTAACATTAAATATTATACAGTTATTACACAGACAGTTTTACCACATAGATGCCAGGAGAACCAAATGAATCAGACAGTCCACAGTAGTTTTATAGTCTGAAGCTCCTATTAGGAAGTGAAAACAAATAAGATTAATGTTTCAACCCAAACTGTCTGTTGTTAAGCCCTGAGTATTGCAGAGCTACTTACTGCTTCTGAGCTTAGAACAGCTGTCCAATCCAATGGGAGAACAAAATATACATTCTGGGTGCCTTCCTTTGGGTTTGACTTTATTGTTAGTGGTTAAGATAACTGGATTTAACTGTGTTTGATTTGTTTTAAACCTGTCTGCTTTTCTGAGTACTCATACTGCTTGTGGTATTGGACTCTGCTGTAATGAAAATGTTGTCAAAATCATGAGATCAAGAGGACATGAAAAACAAGAATCGTTTGTCTCATGTCAAGATAATTTAGATTAAAAAGTCCCTTCACCCAAATAAAAAACATATATTGTTGTATATTTTGAAGATGTGACCAACCTTCTGGATGGTCAAGAGAACACAAATAATAACTGGTGTCCTCCTGTGTGGTGTCCCACATGGGTTAACACCTGGTCCACCTTTTTGTTTTGTGTTTTCAGGCAGCTGCTTTGTCACAAAAAATACATTATAAATGATCATTATTATGCTGACAACACACAAATCTGTCTTGCTGTAACAGTCAGTTGGTCCATTGTTGGATGATCCAACATCCAGAATCCATTACTGCAATGTGCTTTTGTCTGGCCTGTCCATGACAGCAACGAGGGCTCTTCACTTGCTCCAAAACACATCAGTCAGACCAGCCTTACTAGCTCTAAAAAGGCTGATGATGTTTTACATGCCCCAGTGTATTTGCATTGGTTACCAATACAAGCCAGAGCTTCATTTCAAAATCCCTCTGACAAGGCTTTAAATGGACTTGGCCGTCTTATTACAGTGTAATTACCTATAACTGTTCACTCTCTTCCAGGTACACATTGTTGGGCTATCTAAGAAAAGCAGTTTGTCAGTAAGACAAGTTGAGCGCTGGTTCAGAAGAAGACGCAGTCGGGACCATCCTGGAGTCCTGAAAAAGTTCAGAGAAGCCAGGTCACTACTCTGTGTGTGTGTGTGTGTGTGTGTGTGTGTGTGTGTGTGTGATGATAATAATAATAATGCAGTACCTGCGATAGCCATACATACCTGCCTCCCCTCTGCTTCCTACAGTTGGAGGTTTCTCTTCTACCTGTTGGCGTTCATCGGAGGAATAGTGGCATTGTACGATGTGAGTAGCTTATATCATTGCAACAGGAACCCATATCAGCCAGAAACAGTTTACAGAAGGAAATATTTTACTGTGAAAAGCAGATTAAGACAGCTGTAGTTACATTCACAAGTTACTAGCGACATTGTGGGTGTGGCTGTATAGCATTCATAAAAGCTTTCTTCATGTACATTTCTAATAAATTGTAGAAATATAATAATTTTTCTCACTGTTTTTGTAGAAAGAATGGCTTTATGACACTTCCGAAGTATGGACAGGTTTTCCAAAGCAGGTTTGCATGCTTTTGTAATACACCATAATCATAAAAATATCAGAAAATACAAATGAGTTTCTAGACAAATGAGACATCCATAGTCATGCTGAAAGACAACAGACTCTCCTCCTGAGTATATTATCCAGGATTGACTATAAGTTAAAGGGTCTGACCAAGTCCTTACAGGACAAATCTTTTTTCTGACTCTGATTCTGTTTCTGTGTCTCTCTGTCTGCAGTCCATGCTGGAGTCTCAGTACTGGTATTATATCTTGGAGATGAGCTTCTATGGCTCTCTGCTTTTCAGCATTGCCTCTGATGTAAAGAGAAAGGTGAGTATAGATTGTTAGAGGCCACCACAAATAAAAAAAATCTCCTGCACTCCTGATGTATTAATGCCCAGCTAGAATTTGTGGTTTTATTTTATGCCATTATAGCTCTGGACATTCAAGTCTGTATTATTTTGAATCCCAAACGTGCAAAAAAACCTGTCCATTATTACTCAGCCAGTGATATGGGCTGTTCAGCATTTTGACACAGTGAACCACCAAATCCTGCTGTTCACCTTATAAGAACCAGGCATCTAATCTCATCTCAGCACCACCTTGCTTTGAGTCCTACATTAGTACCAGTACATCAGTATCCAACTCAGTTCCGCCTCGCTTCCTTCAGAAATCTGGGCATCCTGATTAACAGCTAACTAACTTTCACTTAGCATGCTGCATCTGTGATTTGGTCATGTTGCTTCACACTATATAACCCAAAAGCCAAAAATGGCGTATGCCAAAATATATTCAGACTTATAAAAGCGTGCGTACGCACACTTGTAAGCAAGTTCCCTTTATAAATCACAATCAACTTGAAATGTGGCAAGTGAGGGAGCTCCAAGTCCGACCCTTCAAACGCCCATAATTGCCTATAAATGGTCAGTGAAACGCCCCTTATTAATATTAATTCGTCCTGACTGCAGGAAGAAAAGGAGGCAAAATCTGACAGAGAAGCTACAAAATGAGATTTAACTCAGTGTGACACTGACGTTCCTTTTGGTAAAGCGTAAACATGTTGTTTGGTGGGTAAAAAACGCACTTTCACGCAACGCTTGTGCACCGGAAGAAAGGGGGCACCGGAGCTCAACCCCTTTATGACAGATCTGCAGGAAGGGGCATCCCTCCTGGGTAGTTACGTCACTGACCGGAGGGGGACACACAGATGCAAGACGGGATGACTAAGGTACTAATTTGGATCCCCCATTTGAAAAGAGAGTAAACCAAACGCATTCCATCTGTGTTTAAACATTTGTTTACAGCCCACTCAGTTAACGAGGCTGGCGATGAGTTAAAAGAAATAGCCTGTGACTTGTTGTAAATGACAATAAAATAGTGTTGTTTTTCCATAATGTGTTACAAGCAGCGCATCACATCCAAACACTGGCGCACAGCGTTTGGCTCGATAAGGCAACGAACATGTGATAAAAATACATGAAACTCTGCTCACATATTTGTTCGACTGACACACATTGAAAACGGCATCAATTTAAATATAATTTTTCCTCCTGTTCACCTTATTTATGAGAATAAATTTCAATGCATGTATTATTCTCAGTCATTTTGTGCGCCGCAAATGATCTTAAATTAGCCTATGTTTTTAATCAAACGAGTATTTAGAAAGGCTTTAAGCCTATACTACTCAGTGGTAATATTTCGATATTTTTTACACAGTAGTAGGCCTTCATTTCAAACAGTTTCATCCTTCTGCCATGTGTTTCTCATTTCTCCTCTTTATGTGCATAGGCATGGTTCAGAGTTTACTTCAGTAAACTCTTTTTTTCCGTCAAGTTTGTTTTTTATGAGACCCTGCCCCTATCAATATATATATATATCAATAATTGATTACAAGGTAAGTAGAACCTGAGCGATATGAACCTATGAATTATTATATTCAATTGCACTTGAGCACGTAAAGCAGAAAACAATATAACAAACACTAAAAGTACAACCATCACATTTCTATATTAAAAAGAAAAACTCATGTAAGACCTGGTTGATAAAAAACATTAGTGCAAGCGATCAATCAATATTAAACTATGCTTAAAAATACATAAAGTGCCGGAAGTGCTTCAAGCCGCCTTGTTAGGAGCAGATTGTTTGTTTAGGAGCGCTATGGAAGTTGGGATGAAGGACAGCTTATAGCGTTTACTTTTACATCTTCCGTTTCCCTGAAGGTAGAACATCATATTCAGAGTGCAGAATATGGGAAGGGTCCTTCAGAATTTTCTAAGCCTGGGAGACTACCATATTTTCAAAATGGTCTGAAGGGAAGTGTAGTCTTTCTTTCCCATAACCTTTTGAACAACCTACTGTATTTCTCAGCTTTGTATTTATTAATACGATATTGTGTTACAAATTTATTGTTTGATAAATGTGATCAAATGACTGATGTGATTCAATCCCCCCCCTCCAGGACTTTAAGGAGCAAATCATCCACCACTTGGCCACGCTGGTCCTCCTATCATTTTCCTGGTGTGTGAACTACATTCGTATAGGAACGCTGGTCATGCTCGTCCATGATGCCTCCGATGTTTTGCTGGAGGTCAGTCACATCCACACATGGTCTTAAACGCCCATCTCTCTAAGATGATATACACTGCCAACATTTTAAACATTTCCTTCATTGTAAAACGTAAAAAAACAACAATTTTTTATACCATGGCCACAGGAATTCTCAATAGTGATTGGCATGGGAAGTGTGTATTAACTTTAAGTAACTGGACAGTATGACTGGACATACTGTATATTATGTATGTGTTTGATTGCAGTCCTAAATTAATGCACCAGTATTAAACTATAGGTTGCTATAGTTGTATAGTTTGTGTAACCACCTACAAAAACCAAAAAAAAGGCCAAATAGCTGCAGAGGGAAAAAAGGAGGACCAAAGACGCGACCAAACACCCCGAAGAAAGTAAAGACATGTGGGGAAGTCACAGGTATAGTAATAGTGAAAGACGGCAAGGGAGAGAGAGACCCCTAGGAAGACCGTTTTAATATCATATAGCAGAGTGCTGTAATTGACAGCAATCAGTAAATTTCTCGTTGTCTCAAACAACCTTTCTCAGACTCCAGAAGTGCCAGTTCTACTTTATCTGTTGCTTGTCAAGGCGATTCTCCAGTTACTTCCACAATGTCAACCAGAATGTTCTTGACTGTTCTCATGGGTTGATGAGTATTTCACTGCAATTTTTCCAGTCAGTCAGTCAGTCTATCACTGACTGGTTTGTATGTTTTTTTTGTGAGAACAGCTTGCAGCAGAAGCAGTAAAGACTATTGAATGAAACAAATCTTTGTCTTGAAATATGCCACCCAGGTTTTCTTGATTTTCTCTCCATTCAGTAATTTTCTTTGAATGCAAAAGTGGTGGTTGTAGTATATGCTTGAGAATAAAAAAGAACACAGGGATCTTACCAATGCTGTTTACTTTAACAGGCTTACATTGGAACAACAACATGGTTTTCAGCAGCCGTCTTGATACTACGACAGTGCCGCCTAGCGGTATAAAGTAGCGGGTGCATATAACTGATGGACACAGCAGTGGTGGTGGAGGCAACTTCTCCTGTCCTCTCTTTTTGGAAATGTAAAGTATGATTATACCTGACATGGCCTTCTGCTGACGAACTCTGTCCTTACTGTAAAACAGTACAGCTGGCCGGTCAGCAGAATCTGTAGGCGCTGCATTGATGGACTCATTCAGGATATGTTTCAGTTGATGGGGTGTCTGCAGGCTGTAGAGTAGCAGCACAGTATGTTTTGCTTGTTTTCCCTTCACCTGCAGGATAATACAAACATGCTTGCAAATTTAGTTATTAATCCTTTAGGAAGGATATACAATGATCATAAATTAAAACCCATCAGGCATTTAACACATCTAAAGCATAGATATTAGATAATGGTTGACCAGTACTTTTCCAATACATGAATAAAAAAGGTCAAGAATCAAGGTTTACATGATTCTCTGATGGGAAAACATTGTGCATTGTACATATGCGCTAGGTTAACTATGTATATATGCGCAAACTGAGTATCTATATATGTGTGAGGTGAGTATATATGAATGTGCGAGTTAGAGTGTGAATACATGTTCTAGGGGTGGGAGGGTAAGATCCGTTGTATAGTGGTTAATCCTCTTGCCTTTGGTGTGGAAGATCCAGGAGCAATTCCTGCTCACTGCATCTATCATTGCAGCAGGTTTTGGGATTATGGGGACATGATAACAATCTTTTAATTTTGGGGGCGATAAAGTGACTGCCAAATCACTAAATGTACATGGAAGAGGAAAGTTTTTGTCCATTTGATAAGTAGGTGAAACGATGTTAGCTATCTAACTATGATTCTTATCCCTGTATGATTGCCAAATAATAATGTCGTTCAGCGTCTTTTCAGATGAATGTTACCTAAGCTGTACCCTTGTATGGAGACGTAACGATATTATCAGGTCGTGCTGTCTGTCAGCCTCTCAGCTCTACAGGAGCTGCTGCTGAGTTTGTTAACTCTGAGAAGAGGGAAATACTGCATTTTCCGTTCTAGAAGGAGCAAATTTAACTCCTGTGACAGCCCACTGTAGTGAGGGAGGAGAATCTGCCAATCACAGACTGGGAGCTGATCAAATAAAAGCTACAGCTAAATCAATAAACGGCAATGTAATATGTTGACAGCAAAACAAGTGAAGGTTTATTACTGATGGAATAACTCTCTTTTTATGTGTAGTTGAGTGGTGCAGTGGCAGAATCAACATTTTTCATGCAGTAGGTTCCCAGTTCAAATCCCAGGCATAAGAAGTTACTTTACATTTTTGGCAGAGGATAAAAGTGTCTGACAGACAGCATGGCTGGCACTTCTTACTTCCTGAAGCCTCCATTTTCAGTGCACATGGCAAAATTGTGAGCACACAATGCTGTGAGCAGTGCTTTTATTTGTTCATTCTTACTTTATTTTTTTATTTGTTACCTCAAGTCAGGAAATGAGGAAGGACACACACCGGAAAATCTTTATTGGGTGTGAATGCTGCAGAACATTTATGCTTGTAAAAATTTTTTTTTAACTTTTATACTTTTTAAACTATTAAGCTTTTTGTGCAATTTTTTTACAATGTAAGTCAATCGAGAAATCTTCAAATCCTTCTTAAACTTCTTCAACTTTCAAAGGCTACTACTTCTGCATACTTTCAGCTACATTCACCATTTCAGCTTTAAAATGTTCACACATCTTTAAGCTATAATGCTTGGATTCAACTTTTTGATATCTTTTACAGTTTTTTCACAGTCCCTGTTTTAGTTTCATAAAGATTTCTGCCATAGTCAATTCTCCTCAACATTTCTTGACCAGAGCGGAACGTACCAGTTTTAAACTCCCCAAATTGGTCCCTTTTTTCAACTTTATCCACACAAAAAATATATCACATCATTCACAAATGCCTTCTGCCGCTGCCGGTCAGGTCATTTCGCTGATAAGACCTATAGTTTTGTCTCTAGGGATGTTTGTTTGACAGAAAGTCTCGGAAGGATTTTCCTATCTGTCTCTATTGTAGAGCTGGTTACCTTGGTGACGTAATTTAGCTGATTAAAGATGAAAGGACTGGGTCCTCTTTTCTGATTGGTGGACTGAAGTTAAGCTATTTTCTGAACACCTGTTTGTGTCCTCTTCACTGAACACACACACACACACACACACACACACACACATTAAAGGAGACTTATTAGGCTTCTTATATTTTCTGTCTTATCTATAATGTTACATGGTTGGATGTTCATGTTAAATGTGGCAATCCAGTTTAGCATCAGCCTTCAACAGCCAGCATTCACACCGAAATTTCTCCAGAAATTCCACTGTAAAACTCCACTGTCTAGTTTTATTTATTTATTTTCCTTTGAGGGCAACCAGTGGAACCAACCGACACCTCAGCATGTATGATCCCCAACTTGTTGGGTAATATGTATGCAACATGGAGTAAACTGTGGTCTTTGCGTGAAGGTCGGATGCACTACACTCTCATGGCAAGCTACCATGGACCATGGTGTTGTAATACCATAACTTTTGCTGCTTTTGGTGTTATGAAACATTTAGTGACACCTATTTACTAAAAGATTTCTAAATTTTTACACTATGGATAGTATCATTATTATTATTATTTGTAGCTGTAGGTCTAGTAGTATCAGTAGTAGTTGTCATAAAACAAATGTACAACAGCCAAATGTAGCCCTCTATAACTTACTAACTCTAAATTAATGGCTCTTCAATTTTTCAATTTTATTTATATAGCGCCAAATCACAACAACAGTTATCTCAGAGCACTTTTCATAAAAGAGCAGGTCTAGACCGTACTCTATGATGTTATTTACAGAAGCCCAACAATTCCCACCAAGAGCAGCACTAGGCGACAGAGGCAAGGAAAAACTTCCTTTTAAGAGGCAGAAACCTCGAGCAGAACCACGGCTCAGGGTGGGCGGCCATCTGCCTCCACCGGTTAGAGAGGGAGAGAGAGAGAGAGAGAGTGATGGAAGGAGAGAGAGAGGGGAGGGAGGCAGCCTACACAATATACACACAGAGGTACAGACAGTAAAGGTGATGTTGCTATAGACTGAATGAAAAATGGTACAGATATTTATAGTAGTGTTAACGATAATAATCGTAATGTTAATGATTATAATAACAATAATAACAATAGGACTAAAAACAATAATTGTAGCAGATGGTGTTGAGCAGGAACACGGGGGCAGCAGGTGACCCGCAGCCACAGATCCAGACTCCACAGCTCCAGAGCCAGAAAACCTGCAGGAAGTGATAGGAGGAGAGAGGAGAGGGACGAGAAAGCACAAGACTACCAGAAAGGGGAGAAGTTGTGTTAGTAACATGCAATAATGGGATAAGGTTGCACACAGAGGGAGAGAAAGTAGAGGAGAGAGGAGCTCAGTGCATCATGGGAAATCCCCCGGCAGTCTAGGCCTATAGCAGCATAACTAAGGGATGGTTCAGGACTCACCTGAGCCAGCCCTAACTATAAGCTTTATCAAAGAGGAAAGTCTTAAGCCTACTCTTAAATGTGGAGATGGTGTCTGCCTCCTGAACCCAAACTGGAACCTGGTTCCACAGGAGAGGAGCTTGATAGCTGAACGCTCTGGCTCCTAGTCTACTTTTGGAGACTCTAGGAACCACAAGTAACCCTGCATTCTGAAACATCATTTCACCTACTTATCCTCATGTCAACAAAGTCAAATGATAGATTCATACCTCTGCATAACCATTGAAGCGCATCTACACAATCAGGGAAGACCATGTGACCACAATGTAGGCAGTCATCTAACCTAACCCTGTGTTAAAAGTCAATAGATGTGGTTAAGGTAATGGTAGTCATACTGTAGGACAACATACCAGTAGGGTTTGACACATTTATCACCTGCCAATGGCACTGAAGCTTTACTATACATGTGTCCGTTGTGGCTTGTCAAACCCATCCACCATCTCCACACCATTACTTTCTGCCCCTCTGTAGAACACACAGCTTGCTGCATTGGCACTGAATATTGGACTGCTTTAGATTAAGCCATGATACCATTAATGCTTTGCACTTACCAGTGAGTATGATATTCCGCAGAAAATGCAAGGTAATTCAGTTCAGACTTGCTCTGTGTTTTTGAATGTGGTTGATTAACAATGCAACTCCTGTTTCTTTCAGTCTGCCAAATTATTCAACTATGCCAAATGGGAGAAAACCTGCAAAACTCTTTTTGTTCTGTTTGCCATAGTGTTTATGGTAACACGACTGATCATCTTCCCATTCTGGTGAGCTCATATATGAGGTGTGTGTGTGTGTGTGTGTGTGTGTGTGTGTGTGTGTGTGTGTGTGTGTGTGTGTGTGAGAGAGAGAGAGAGAGAGAGAATCTGCATATTTATGTGTATGCATGAGTATGCTAAATGACAGTAAGCTCTAAAGCAGGGGTATTCAATTAGAATTCAAAGAAGTCCAGTTAAAGAAAAATTTCCCGAAGCAACGGTCTGGAACATCATAACGACTAACTTGCGTTATCATTCAATTCAATTCAGTTCAATTCAATGTTATTTATATAGTGCCAAATCACAACAGTTATCTCATAGCACTTTTCATAAAAGAGCAGGTCTACACCGTACTCTGTAATGTTATTTACAGAAGCCCAACAATCCCTACCAAGAGCAGCACTAGGCGACAGAGGCAAGGAAAAAAAATTCAGTGCCATAATGTATAGCTTTATCAACATATGTGTTTAGTCAACAACAGACTGTCAAATTAAATAATATTTCAGTTTTCACATCAAACGGGAGGGATAATGAATAATAACTACTCTAATAATAAAATCAAAATTTAAGTAAACTAAAATATTTTTAGAAAAAATGAAATACAGTGGTTCAATCCCTGGCTCCCCCTGGTTGCGTGTCGAAGTGTCCTTGGGCAAGATACTGAACCCCGAATTGCCCCTGGCGGCTGTTCCGCCAGTGTATGAGTGAGTGTGAATGTTAGTTTCTGTTTGAGCACTTAGGCTCAGTGAGTGAATGTGTGTGACTGGTGAATGCAGATGTAGTGTAAAAGCGCTTTGAGTGGTCGAAAAAAGACTAGAAAGGCGCTATACAAGTACGGAGCATTTACATTTACATGAGCCAGCATTCCCAGTGTAAATAACACCTGTGCATGCTTGTGAAATGCCGGAAACTCAATGCTGGCTGTCATTATCCATCGTTATGTCCTAGGGTCCAGGGACAACCTGGAGGCAACATAAGGTGTGGCTCCCCACTCTTCCCACTCCCAAGCAAGACCAGAGAACAAACGGAAATACCAATTAGCAGTTTTATTTTATTCAGAGATGAGCAGTGCCCAAAACAACAAACAAAACGACTCTAGGCAACCTAAAACTTCCCTAATCCAAAACAAAATGTAAAGAAAAGACAAAGCTCCAAGCTCCAGAAAAAAGGTACTCAAACAGAAAAGGGTTTCTAACTCCTACTAATACTGCTATTAGCAAAACAACACAGCTACAACACAGAAAATCTATGTACAGAAAACAAAATGGCTAAGGCCATCAAATCAAGGTGGTCACAAATGATCATCACTAAATGCTAGTGATGGCAGTGCCACGCTGAAGCTTTGATAATTCTTCAACATGCTTTGGCACGAAAACCCCCCGTGACAAATGACGTTCAAAGCAGCAACTGCTTCATTGCCTGAATGAATCACTGACTGGTTCGTGGTCCAATCAGGTGATTCGCTGGAACTTCCTTGAGTCTATGAGTTTCAAGTGGCCTTTTATTGTGGCCAGCCTAAAGTACACCTGTGCAATCCCCATGCTGTCTGCTCAGCATCTTGATTTGCCACACCTGTGAGGTGGATGGATTATCTCAGCAAAGGAGAAGTGCTCACTAACACAGATTTTGACAGATTTGTGAACAATATTTGAGAGAAATAGGCCTTTTGTGTACATAGAGAAAGTCTTAGATCTTTGATCGTTCAGCTCATGATGAATGGGGGCAAAAACAAAAGTGTTGCATTTCTAATTTTGTTCAGTATATTCATTCAGCCAGTGAGCAGTTACCACTGTGTGCCTAATTTGAATGGCTGGAGGGAGTAACTCTGCCACTATAGACAACTCTGAACATGCCAGCACAATACATTCTAACTCTCATCTCGTCACATATGGGCGCTTGGTCAAGACTCCTTGGCGTCGCTTTTTAATGCCCTGGGTTACCTCTTTAACGCCACGGTAAAGTTAGCAACAATAACGTCCAGTCAAGATACCGACGATATACTGGCGAAGTCCAGTTGGACTTTCAAAATAAAACTACTGTTTAACCTTGTTGTAACAGCATGTGGTTTAACATTGTCCCACTGTCACAATTTGGTTAGGTTTAGGTACCAAAACTACTTGGTTAGGTTTAGGAAAAGATCATGGTATGGGTTAAAATGACTAAAATGACTTATGTTGCATAACTAAAAAGAATTAGTGTTGATGTTGATGACTTCCTGCTGTTGCTGCAGCTTACCTTAAAGCATGGCGGTTAGTGTGTCAACATTCGAAACAATCAAAGCTGTTCCCTATCTGAAAGTATTTTTTCGGACACCTTCCTGGGGTGACCTGATGGACTAGGCATTTAAGGTGCTGACCAAGCAATTGCAACGTCCCAGTTCAACTGTTCCTCATTTCTCACAACTCTCTACTGTCAAGCTCTAATACTGCCAAAAAAGAAAGCAACATATCTGATTATAACACAATACAACTGAATGGCATTGAATGAACACCTCCCTACAAACAGTTTCGAAACAAACTGAACAATAGAATATTCACAAAGATTCATTGCAGACATCCTCGATGAGACTGCATTAAGCGGAGGTGGATCTAATAAATTGAGTACATATGAGAGGTTATATTCGGTGAAGACATCTTAGCCACATGATAGCACATGATAAAACTCAGACTATAGGTCTGAGACTCTAACAACATTTCATTTGTTCAGATAAAACACACAACATAATATAATTATACAGGACTTAGGTTAAGGTGCTGACTTGTTTCTATTCTTCTCTGTTTCAGGCTGATTCACTGTACATGGATCTACCCTGTTCGCCACTACCCCGCCTTCTTTGGCTACTACTTCTTCAACGTGATGCTGGTGGTCCTTCTCTGTTTGCACATATTCTGGGCCTACCTCATTCTCTGCATGATCAGAAAATTTATGTTTGGCACTGTAAGTCTGCTCAATAAGAATCGTCTGTCATCAGCCAATATTCAAACCATTAGTCGACTAGTCATCGTACATGTATGATAGTTATTTATTTATGTATGTTTTGGGGGCATCTGAAAATGATTTGGTCTCCTGGACCCGGTGTGTCTTCGTCGTCCCCAGAGTAACAGTCCTGGTAAGAGCCGCTGTTCTGTATTCCCTGTCATCAAACTGGCCTCCGTCGACCTCTGGGGCTGTGTTCAGTCACGATCCATCTTCACTAGGAGGCTCCTGAGCTCGGTTCCATTGCCCACTCGCTCAGCCCTGGTTCTGGTTTCAGATATTGTTTTTTTTTATTTTAATGGCTATTCTTCTTATTGATATTGTTATATTGGTGAGTTGTTGAGTATTTTTGCTGCTCCCTGGCACCATTCCTTGCCCGCTCAAGTCCAACTCTCCTTTGCCAGTGATGTAAACAAACACTCCTCCTGGCCAGTCCAGGTAAAGTCAGCCTGTATGACCACTAACTGACATCTGGGGAGGAAATAGAAGGCTAATAGTAAAATGACTGTCGGAACTTCCTGTTTCAGCTTGGACCTACCATTCTTCCTGTAGTTACCAACATTTCAGGTGGTTTCAGTTTTGGTTTTGAGACTGTCTACACCTAAAACAATGTGAGTTGTCTTTTCAAATTCCTGAAGCAACCTGTGTTTAATTTCACCTGACAAGTATCCCTCATGGCAGCGTAAACGTCTTGACTGTCAGGAGTCAAAGGGGATGTAATGTGACATTAAGGGTCAGCAAAGTATGTGACTCTATCATGGGACACTTTACACTGTTTCCCATTATATCCAGCACTCAACATTAGTCATTATTAACCTAGTAGGTTTTGTTCCTAAACTAACTTTAACGAAAGTGTTGAAAGATTACATTTTAGAAGGTACTGACTAACAGTGTTGTCCTACTGATACAGGAAAACGCCAATACAGGTCGTTTTGGGAGGCAACGATGTTCTCGTTTAGTTTGGAGGACTTGTTGTCAGCTTTCTCCTCTAAATAAAAAGGTTTAGATAATCGGGATAATGATGGGAACTACGTCTCTTAGAGGGGATTCAGGTCTTGCTGAGCTGATTTTTAGTAGACAGTCCCTTTTAGTACTGATCATCATTTAGCAGTCGTTGGTGATTTTATATCATTGTATCCATCTGTATGCAGTGTGCTGTGTAAGAAACAGCCCTTTAGCTACCAGGGACAATTCAATAATACCATTACAGTTGTTGTTAACACATGATTATTTCTGACTTTGTGTGAAGAAATATGTTTGTGACGAGAGGTGAAAGCTCAAGCTCATTGTTCGCTGCTGCAGCTCAGGTTGCAAATCTGCTTTCTTGTGTTCGCTTTGCCCTAGGCTGCTGGCTCTACCAGCTGCTTGTGGTATTTGTTCCCTCTCCCAACTTATTTTGAAAGCATTTTACCAGATATAGCACGTGGCTTAAAAGTCAATGAGTCATCAATCAAAATTGCTTTGTTTCTCTACATCTACTGTATATTTCTCTTACTTAAACCACAGCTGACCAGAGATGAGAGAAGTGACAATGAAGAGGAAGAGGAGGAAGAAAGCAGCCTGACAGAGGACGAAGCTGAGGAGCAGCACAAACTTGGCAATGGATCGGCAGTGGATGAGAAGGACAAGAACGGCTGTTTTGGATGCTTGTCTCCACCAGAGAACATCTGCCGGTCAAAGACTGTGTACTGATTCAGCCTTAGGATAATCATTAGAGTCAAAGATGTAAGAAATATAACAATGGTTAAAATATTTTCATCCAATAGGAACCAAAAATATAAGAGAAACGTGATTTATTCCTCCAGATGCTGTAACACGACCTAGCCTTGCTGTTCTCACAGTGCTTTGAACTGCACAGGCAGAGAGCAAGAGGCTCTGTTCCTCCCCACAGTGTTGTCACAGGTCAAAAGAGAGCAGCACGCAAGCAAACCCCACTGTGTGCTTATTGTCCTATATAATTTGTTCTGTATTGTTTGTGAAGAGCAAAGCTGGTGCGCTGTGGAACATGAATTGCTTATTTAAGGCCACAGGGGGGATGATTGGGATCTAGTATTCATAGATGTCTCCAGATAATTGTGGGCTTGGTGGGGTGTGGTTAGATGGGTGGGAGTGCTATTTACAGCAACAAATGAAATCATATGAGATACGAGCGCACAGAACAGTAGCGTAAAAGCATTCTTGCGAGTGGGAATTTCTGCTCCACATGCACAGGGCTGTGACGAGCACTTGCTCGACCCTCCCTACACACTAGTAGCTGCTCAATACTCGCACACTTGTAAAGTTGACTTTTGAGACTTTGGAGACAGTGATGGAATAGACAGCAAGGCTTCTGGATTCATTACAGAAGTGACTAAAGTGTGTGAAACTGTGGCAAAATATAGCTGGTGTCAAGAAATGAAACAGCCGCCTCACTAACGGTTAAAGCCGTAGAATGGAAAACTGTATTTTCCTTGGCATGAATAAGAGTTAAGTACGTGGAACTGACATACCGTGAGCCTCAATCACCATTGTTTTTTCCTTGATATGTAAATCCTGCGCATATAAAGGATTCTGGAAAAACAGGAGTATGCCAATAATCACTAGATGTGATTTCTGGGATCATTTAAAGATTCAGTGTGTAGGTTTTAGTGGCATCTAGTGATGAGGGTTGCGAAGGAAAAATCTATGGTGGCTGACACGCTCTGTCGATTTTTGTGCTAAATAATACGTGTGGTCCTCTATTTGTCCAAACTTCTCTTCTTTTCTTACTGCTTGAAACATGGCGGCATAACATGGCGAGGTCCATGTAAGAGGACCCACGGTGTACAGTATGTAGCTAGAAATGGTTCATTCTAGGATAATAAAACATTATGTTAGGTTCATTATGTAAGGTCTATGTAAAGTCAAAATTGACATATACCAACCCACGTTCCAGAGAAGTGGTCATTCCATCACTGAGCTAGAACTGGTGGTTGCTCAGTACGTCTCGCAGAAAGTGCTTTTACGGTTATGAAGGAAAGGTAAATATTTTCTCGTTTTCCCTCTTAAGTTCGCTGACTGCTCTGTCTCAGCTCTGTGATTTAAGAAGTTTCCTAATTAACAGATAGCTTTACTTGTTGCTAACACTACAGTAACCGCTAGCTGTTGCTAATTGTAGCTGCTGCTAATGGTAGCTGCTGCTAACAGGAGCTGCTGTTATCAGCTGGCTCTGAACTAGCGGTTCAAAGCATCTGTACTAATGTTAGAGGCCTAAACGCCACACATACCAGAGCACCAAGCTTCCAATCCAGCCAGAATCAGCAATAGGACCGCTAGCTGCATGACAAACTGATGAGCTAGCAGCAGCTGATGATAGTAATAGTTAGCAGCTAAAGTAACTGGTAACATACAAACTCCGTAAATCACCAAAAGTGGAGGCAGAGCAGAGTGCATCAGAGGGAAAACCTTAACTCAGCACTATGCAGCCAAGTCCCACCCCTCTGCTGTGTTCTAGGAAGTTGGCCTTTAGGGATGGGGCCTCAACAGAGTGTTCCGACACAAGGTGAAAAGAGGTAATGAAGCAGTAAAGAGTATGAGAAAAATAATGTGTTCTTTAAACATTAAAGCATGTAAACAATTTCTAGGTAAAACCCTAAACACAAGTATGAACCTTTTATTTTGTATTTTATTTGCTTCAGTTCTTGAACTCACCCTGCCTATATCTGGGACAGGTGTCTATAAGGCACTGCCTTTAATTCCTTTTGCACAAAACTCTTGCTCAGGAAATTGACTTAATTGTCTTTGTAAAATTAACTTCACGGATGAATTGTGGAGAATCTAACTGATCTAAAGTTGTGTAGCATGTCCATATTGACAAAAGTTTATACATTTGTATATGTGTGATTAAAGCAGCTTTGCTCAAGTGGGCGACCCAGTGGGCTTTAAGAGGTTTTATACATTCAAAGAATTTATATAAAAACCCGATCAGGCATCTAGTTGAGACAAGGCAAGTAAAATGGACAGGCGTCTAATTGAAACTAAGCTTTTAATTGAAGTTTTACAGTACTCCAACACTAGGAATTTTGATAACGTGGGCTGTCAATATTTTAACCTACATTACAAACTGTGACACAAAGCTGCACAAATGAGAGTGTCGCTTGAGACATGTTCGACACGCTTGCTTACGTCTAGACATGGGGTGGTTGGGAATGATTGAAATGTCTTTTTACCGCAAGTGTTGCAAAATAGGAACATTTCCAGTTATACAGTGATCTGCAACTTAAAAAGAATGTGGGACAGGGGCATAGGGTGGAACCATGGATTCGATAAGACACGTGCGTTTGAATTCTGCTAATCGGATCCTAACTTTTTGCATATTTCAGTGGCGCTTTCTATTGAACAGTGAGCATTTACCTGATACCTTTTACCTGTTACCTGTTGTTGGTTATGAAGTACATCAATATAGCATGTGAGAAGAGACTACTTCTGTTTCTATTTCTGGACCATCGCGGACCGCAGCAAATGTTCCAAAGTTTGGCTTAGCTTCACTGAAAAAAAAGGAACGACAACAAAATGCAACACCTGCAGTAAGGAGATTTGGTGTGAGGGAGGAAGCAGCTCCATCATCACGAGGAATTTACTTCAAAAGGGTGTGAATCTGAAGGAATGCACTGTGTTTAATGTGTTGCACTCTTACAACCCCATAGGGGCACTAAGTAGGGGGGCCTATGGCCCCAACTTCTGGCACCCTTGGTAGACAGTGACTAATGTCTCCATTTCTGCAGGTAGAGCAGAAATTCTGTTGTTCTTCAGATTCTGTTCTGTGCGCTCATTTTTATGTGTGCTGGTTTTGAGACTAATAAACGCCATAACTTTCCCCCTGTCCTCCCAACACATTTCGGCAACAAAATTAAAAAATCACAATCAAAAATGAATAAATAAATGAGAAAACCAGATTCAAAGAACGGTCCAATTTTGTTTTTTTGCAAATTCCTATTTTAATTTTTCCTTTTCTAATTAAAGAATGGAGAAAGGCAGACAGGTGTTGACTCTGACTTTTCATGCGTCGGAGCGCTTGAGAACATCCACTAAACTAAAATACATTATGTTCTAGTATATCAAGTTTAGACTACACCATGAAGATTTCATGTTAACCAAATGATGATTGTCACACAAGGCTTACTTCCTGCTGTCAGTAGGTGGCGTAATTAATATAATTATAACTTGGCATGTAGATGTCCTTAAGCAGGGACGATAATCAAACATGGGGGAAATGTGGGGCAGATTGGACAATGTACACTCAAGTTACAACAACTTCCTGTTTCATGGGGATTGATGTGTCCCCACAGTAACAGCATTGGTAAAGGTCTTAAGACATTTATCCCAATTGCACTGCACAAATTTGAAACTGATGCAATTAATTAGGTAGGAGTTTCTTCGTTAAAGTACGGAGCCTGTCAATGTTGAAAAATGTCTTCATATTGCATATTCCATTCAAAATGGCAGACTTCCTGTTGGATTTAGGGTATGATTCCAAGAGCCTTTTTTAATAAATAAAATAAAACTTCTGCCACAAAAAATCCATGGTGAAATGTAACATGGGGGCACATATTTAAAAATTTTTGTAGTGGTCACTATGGGAAACGTGTGCAAAGTTTCATAGTTTTTGGGTACTTTTAGCTCTTCAAAAATGCATTCACTGGGGCGAAGTAATTATCCTAGCAGAACCAGGCGGTTCACTGGCCCTGAATATATCAACATGAAAGCCAAGAGGATAGAATGGCCATTCTATCAAAGTGTAACATTATGCAAGCACAGGATCAGGATAAATACATAAATGCATACATTAGCTGAACATCACAGATCTATAGTAATAAGTCTTACTATACAGTCACTAGAGTATTTGCGATTTCCAAATACAAGGCACAAATATATGAGGAGGTTCATCACTATGATTAGTGAACACACTATGTTGTGATTTTTTATTATTGAAGTGTCACAATTTTGACATGTAGCAGTCATTCTCAAACACTGAATTGTTTGTGTCATTTCATGCTACAGAAATAAAATATTGAAAAATTTTTTAAAAAGTATGTTGTACAGTTATTTTTATGGATGACTCATCCATTCTGCCATTTTTGCCGATTCAGTGTCTGTATTTTAACACACTCCTCTTAGAGACTTAATCCGATCGACTTTTTTGCTGTGCATTTTAAAGGCATTGATGATAAAACAGTTGGGCTATCTGTGAGTTTTCATTGATGGCGGTGTCTGTGGCATGACATCAAAAAAAGATGATTCGCCATGAAACAGGAAGTTGTTATAACTGCAGTGTACATGCTCACATCTGTACCAAATTTCACATGTTTGATAGTGTCACACCCTTAAGACAACTACAGGCCAATACTCATTCACTGTCATTGACAAAACTGATTTTATTTACATATATTTACACTTCATGTACTGGTACGCAACATATAATGCGCAGGTTTTATCTAGTTATGTGTTCTGTTATTATTATTATTAAGGTAAATGATAATGTAAATAATAGAATAATTCAATTTAATGGGCAATACAAAACAAATGAACTGATCCTTAACGAACCAGAGGTAGATACTAAAAAGGACATTCAGTATTGCACTTCCATGAACCTGGGTTACTCACATGAGCCAGGTTTTCAAATTGTCAAGGTTCTGAGGGTATGGGCGTAAATTTCATCTAACAGTTGGGGGGGACATTAAAGAGCAATTTTTGAATGGGACATAAATAATACAGCCAAATATGTACTTGTATTGGATATGTGTACACAGAGGAAAGTCTTACTACTACTACTTACTACTTTTCTGGCCAACAACACCAAAGCAAATATGACTTAGGTTCATAGGTTCACCACGTGGTCATATTATATTAATAATCTTGCGTCCTCTTTTATGTTTCTTCTGAGACAGAGGACATCTCTTAACTAGAATGGGCATTCACTAATGTGTGTGAGAGCTGTCAGCTGTTAGCTGTGACTGCTAATGCTGCTGCTGCAAAGTACTGCTCCATCAGCAATTCAAAATCCTTTAACGCTGCCTACAGGTAAAAGAATCACATGCCACAGACTAATTCAGTTAAATATTAAAGCAGCAATCAGCATTCGACGGGCCCTCGCATGTGAAGTGCATCAGATAGTGTTGCTCTGAATTGTCACGCACTTTGGACGCTGCACGAAATACTTAAGTCACTTCCTGTGTCCTCTATGTGGTGCACACAGTAACTATATGCTAGGTCCCAGTACATCAAGTGTGGAACACATTGGCCCTCATTTATGAAAAGTGCGTACACCAAATTTCTAGCATACACCTGCCGTACACCGAAAACCACGGTGACTGAGATTTATCAATATGGACGTTGGCGTACAGCACGCTCAAATCCTACGCCAGCTCAGGAGGTGGTGTACATGTACGCAAGTTTTGAGTTAGTGCGGAAATGCACAGAAAAACAATTCCTAACACCACAAAACGCACTGACAAACTAAAAGATATGATATATTATGACCCACTGTAAAAAAAACAACATAGTAATTATAAACTTCCATGTTTATTTTTGTGCAACATGGACTTAAATGTTTAATTTGTGTGACTTTACCAAAGCATTTGATTTGTAGGCATATGTATTCCTTCATTTGTAGTTTATTTGGGGTTGCTTTTATTTCAGTGTATATCCAAACAAAAATAGGCTGTGACACAAATAAAAGTTGCAGGTCAAACTGACTATATTAGTGCCCAAAAACAGAAAAATGCACGCTGCAGATTCACGGAACCAGCCACAAGTCAGCACCCAAATGTGCATTCAAAATGCTATCTAAGGCAGTGTTTTGCTTTTCTCGACATTTTGAAGAGAATAATAAAATGTTTCTAAAGCAACACAAGATTGGTTTGTCTATGTTTTTCTTGCTCAGCGTTTGACTAATATCTTGCATTAAACAAAATGTAAGCATCATCCCATGATGTTGCAATAGTAGGAATTGTAGCCACTTCAACACAAAAACTATAACTGCACTTAAACAGAATGATGGATGACAGTTAGGATAAATCTGTACTCAGGCCTCAGCTATACCCAGTGGAGCCTGTGTGCTTTACCTGACGTTTCAGGGTTAGGCCCGGCAGGTGTGCACGGACTGGGTTCAGTAATGAAAGGCTTCCAATGAACAAAAAATAATTCAGACTGACAAAATAATAAAAATGACATTCTTCTTCTTTTAAATAATAAAAATAATAATAACGACATTCTTCTTCTAAATTGCTTTAAGTGGTCGAAAAAGACTAGAAAGGCGCTATACAAGTATGGAGCATTTACATTTACATTTAAATAACAATATAGGTCATTAATAATAAAAATCATAATAATAATAAGAAGAATATTACAAATTGTCATGCAATTATTAATATGATCTGGTGGGCCTCCCCCAGTCTGACTCTGGCTCCTCTTCAGAGCCGAGACGCGCCTCTTTGTGACGATCTTTGTACCGGACCACTTTTTTTTCCCACCTACAGTAAAGAAAACGCATGCTTAACTTGTTAAATATTGGTCTATATTAAGCAATAAAACATTCTTACCTCTGCTGGAGTGCGCTTCTCAACCCCCACACTATTAACAGAAGTCATAATTTG